GACTTGCTGGTTTCTTCTTTGGCGCACGGGCAATTTAGGGTTGGCTCGTGGGCGGACTGCGGGTTAGCAGAAGCAGGTGCAGCGGAAACGGGCGCAAGTTGGTCAAAGGGACCCGCGGCATTGGTCCAGGGGGAGCGGAGCTGGGCGGAAGCTTCGGGGCTGGAGGGGGAGGCGGACGAGGCGGAAGCAGGGGAGGACGAGCGGGAAGAGCCTGTTTCTAGGGATGAGTCGCAGAAAGGGGACGTGGTTGCGATAGAGTTGGAGGATGAGAAGACGGACGGCACGATGAACGACGACGATGACGTGGAGCGAATGCAGCCGTTGGATGAGGGTTCCGTTGCCGCACGCGAGGGCAGCGACGGATCCGCGAGCCAATCGCATTCGTCGGACGCCGAAACGAGATCTTTCTGCGACAGCCGTTGACTTCGCAGGCTCGACTGACTGCGCAAATCCGGTTGACTCGCATGACTGAGTTGACTGGCAGGCCAACGCACACCGCTCAGCTCTGTGGCGCAGCGATCCTCGTGCCCCTGCACGTATCGCAGCTCCCGAGTCGTTTGAAACGATCGCCGCCCCGCAGTAGCTGCTCGTCGGGTCTCGCCGCCGCCACGAGGCAATTCGGACACATCGCGGGGCAGCGCCTCGGCGCAGGCGGCGTCCGGGGACCCGCGGGGGTGACCAGGCGCGCGGAAGGAGCCGCTGCGGCGGCGGGAAAGGGGGCGCGCAGGGCTGCCGGTGCCGCTGGCACTGGGGGTGTAGAAAATCATATCTTCCCGCCACGACGCGCAGCGCGCCGATCCTGATGCCACCGACGGCACGTCGATGGACCTCCGCCGATACGCGCCGTCGACTCTCGGAGGCGCGAAAGGTTCGTACGCCCTCCGCCCGTCACCACTGCTACCGCCGCCGCCGCCGCTGCTGCTGTTACTGTTGCGAGCCGTGTTCGTCGCGCGCAATCTTTCGCACGGCGCTTGCTGCTTCGCGCCTGATGATGATAGAGTTCGTGCCAAACCGTTGTCCCTCTTACTATAGGGTGCGTATTCAGGCGCGTCAAAGCTCAAATCGGTGTCCCTGCTAGTGTACGTCGCATATTTCTCGATAGTAGACTCCTCGGCACACTCCATCGTTGATTCCATCATTTCGACGAAGATGCGGCACTTGACGGCGCTGAGCTGCCGCTGCGACTCGAGCAGAGCCAGTTTGCCCTCCAGCGCCGCCATTTCCACGTCAGCGAGTACACGGCTGCAACTTGGCCGGCGGTCTAGAGCTGGCATAGCGGCGGAATTCGCGCCGGAATTAGTGCTGGAGCGTGAAATGTCGGGACATGCGGCGGATGTTGAGAAGTCAGAGAATGCGGACTGCGCGTCTGATACTGATGGTTGTGCGCCGGGATATGCGGGTTGTATACGGCTATCGCTGGCGGGTCTGGCTTGGTGGGATTCTGAGGTACCATGAAACATCGAAGCCATGGCTACGAATGCACCTTACCACTTTTAGCGGGTCCGCACTCGTTTAGCGGGTTACTTTTTCCCTAAAGCAAGTAATTCCACTCTGAATACTACTTCGTAGAGTTTGCGAACGTGTGTCTACGTTTGAACTACGGGCTCACTGGAATCTTATCGTCAGTCAGTAAGCTACGATCAGTCGTGTCAAAGCAGTCAGCGGCAGACAGCAGCAAGCAAACAATAAGTGGAAGGGATGCATGGGGGGAGGGGAATGAATGGGAGAATGGAGATTGGAGTGAGGAGGATAGGGTGGGGGCGGGAGAGATTGGGTTGGGAGACCAAGTGAGGGAGAAATTGGGGCAACAGGGGGGAGTGAAAACATGGGGTTGTTGTTGCCTCAGATCTCGCTTCGCGCTCGCCGAGAAAGATTTCCGCGTCGGATGTCCAGAGGTTTTCCTCGCCCCCCCTCCCGCTGCCTTCGGTGAACCAGTCAGGTGATCTCGTGAGCGTGGGGCGAATCCAAGCGCTTTCACGTCGACCGTCCGTCGCCGGAATCCCCTCACGCTGAACGTCAAGCGAGATTCTTCCCACAGCCTATCGTGTCCTAGCCAACTGCCTCGGTCGACTTTCCCTCCAATATCATCCAGTCATTTGAGTTCGTTGGCATTCCCGCATTCTTGCTGGTGTTGATTAACTGTAAACACGTGATTCCCTCACTCCCCCTGTGACTAGCTCAACACCCAGATAGTTCTGTATTTTGCCAGTGTATGCTTTCACTGCCTACACTGACCGTAAGCATAACATCGTGTCTGTCTTTCCACTAGGAGTCGCTCATTTCTCGTACGCACCAGTTCGAGTTGAGGAAAGTTGCGTTTCGCAAAATATGGTGGGCCCTAAGTCCCTTTTCTAGGAGCTCAAGTAAGAAGAGTTGTGCAGCTCAGAAGATCTTACGTAAACAGCCAGATGCGGGATGGTGGCTTATACTTCCAGTACAGTGCAGTAGCGCCAGCAAGAAACGCGTTTCTGCCCGAGCTATTTTATTTCAATAAATAGCTATATGACCAAGACTGTCTACAATAATGACAGCTCAACTGTTTCCACGTGTTGGCCCCCTCGACAGGCCCTTTGGACCTAAATCGAAACGCACGGGCAGCTTCAGGTCCGCTCATTTGATGTAAGCAGAATCAAAAACAGGCTAAATTGAACAGCGTTCCCATCGGATTGGGAGAAGCCACGTAGCAGCGACTGCTCCCGGCTTTCTCTCCATCATAAGTTCCAGGGAGCAGCGCTGAATCCAAGCGCCTCGGCTTCCGTCCGCATATTTGCCTAACGATCATCATTGTCCCGCCACATTTTGTACAGCGTGCGTCCGAAGGTTCTGCACATGAGATGGAACGAGCAACTACACCCAGAAATTAATCGGACACGTGTGTGCTGCCTTCTCCAGGCCATTTGACCTACAAGTTGTTGATTGCGTTTACACGTAGGAGTTCAATGGGCCACTTGTTCAGTAAAAGGGCGAGTGCTGCTCTAAAAGCGCCAGAATATCTCACGAACCACAACATATCATTGATGTTCCCACCATTCGCCACCGCTCTGTTTCCACTTCATAAGATCACGGTTCTGAAGTCTGGACACCATCTGAAGTGTGGACACTTTGGTAGCAATGAACACGTCTGATTGGCTGTCATGCTCCAAGATTTCTTGCAGCTTGTGTAATTACCAATGATCGGGTGTGTTTACACGTCACTGAGGGAAAAATTTGGTTGATGGTGTCCAAGCTTCGCCCAGAACCGTGACCTAAGCTTGATCCACTTTTCTTAGCATAAGTGAGAACAGTGAGGTAGAATAGTATATTATCTTGTCACAACACAATAACATAATGGGTTAAAAAAAGTCAGGCGATAGCAAGCCTGCGTATACTACAGAAATTTATGTGAATGAGCAGTCGTGTACTGTAAATCAAGCCAGGCAAGCGTGCACACTTGATAAGAAACCTGTAAAGTCATAAACAAATTCAGAATTAGAGTAGTTGCATTACAATCGACACTCGGTCCAATAGAATGGTGCCTTGGTTCAAGAGTACTCTGTCTGGAAGGAGCACAGCTAAGATAGTTATACATTAGCATCAGCTCATCATAGTGCTGTTTCATTCCCTAATGCTGCTCTTGTCCACAAGCTTCACACGCAATAACCTCGTACCGTAGCTTTGCCAGGATTCTCCTTAATGCGGCTACTGTACTGCTGTATCTGCTGTCGTTTTTGCTACATCTGTTGCTCCTGTTGCTTCCCCTGCTGCTTCTCTGTTTCTCCAACCTCCACTATTTATGCTGCATTTCTTGCTGCTGTCGGTGCTGCTGGTGCTGGTGCTGCTAGTGCAGCTGCTGCTTCTGCTGCTGTTGCTCTTGCTGCTCCTTCTGTTGCTTCTTCTGCCTCTGATGCTGCTCCACACACCCACCCCCACAAGCAGCAACTACGCTGCATTACACTCTACCGCTCTGAACCTTATAGTCATCTCTTTGCTTCGCGTGTAATGCTTCTCTGCTGCTTCTCATTCCGCCCCTGCTCCACACATCCACAACCCAAAAGCAGCAACCACGTTGCACCGCACACCACCGTTCTTGATACGTCCGAACCAGCTTGAAATAGCCTCTTGGCTTCACTTGACTTTCTTCTCTTCTGCTTCTATTGCCTTTGCTACTTCTGCAGGTGTTTCCGTTGCTGCCGCTGATCCCAGTTTGCTGCTTCTGTTGATGCCGCTGTTTCTGATTCTTCTGCCTCTATTGCTTACACTGCTTCTCCTCCTGTTGTTGTTGCTTCTGATTCCGCTGCTGCTACACCCATCCACACCGCACAAGCATTGTTGATCCATCTGAACCACTCTCGAGAACTCCCATTAGGGGATTCTCACACAGAAGAAATTTTAATCAGCTGGTTTATTAAAAAAAAGAGAAGAGAATTCTCAGATGATACTCGCTAAATAAATTTCTTAAATGAGGATTCTCTAAGATAACTCACCGTGTAAATTTCTCAAAAGAGGTTTCTCATAGGCGACCTTGGGATCACCGCCTAGCTTTGGCAGTCTTCCCTTTCAGCTGCTGCTTCTGCTGCTGCTGTTGCTGCTCGACATATCCACACTCTACTAGTAACGATCTTGCAGCATTGTTGATGTGCCTGAACCGATCTGGACCCAGTAGAATTCCTCCGAACCACCTCGAAACCACCACCACCTGGCATAACGGAAGTGGAAAACGGTAACTTTCTAAACGCCTCGAAAAGGTATGTGTGTGTGTGTGTGTGCGAGTGTGCGCGCGCCGTGCGTGCGTGCGTGCGTGTGTGTGTGTGTGTGTCATGTGTGTGTGTGTGTGTGAGTGAGTGTGTGTGTGTCATGTGTGTGTGTGTGTGTGTGAGTGAGTGTGTGTGTGTGTTACAATCCTCCTATTACCCTCACCCTTCCACTCACGACAATAGCCGCCGCCACAATCTGCAGCAAAAACTCCACCACCCTTCACCATCCCTCACCATCTCTCACCACCCCTCACCACCCCTCACCATCTACTCCTCACTCACCACATTAGCCGCCCCCACAATCTGCAGCAGATGCATCAACCTACCACCTGCTACTGCCCCCCGGGTGACTTAGGAAAACTCCACCACCCCTCACCATCCCTCAGCGCCCCTCACCACCCCTTACTCACCACATTAGTTTCCCCCACAATCTGCAGCAGATGCATCAGCCTGCCGCCTGCTGCACTCTCCCCCCCCCCCCCCCCCCCTTCCTCCACCCCTCACCACCCGTCACCTACCCTCGCCACCCATCACCACCCCTCACCACCCCTCACCACCCCTCACTCACCACATTAGCCTCCCCCACAATCTGCAGCAGATGCATCAACCTGCCCCCTGCTGCTGCCTCCCCCAAAATGGACTGTTACGTTGGCTCAAAAGCAGGAAATCTCCGCCACCCTTTACTACCCCTCGCCATGCCTCACCACCGCTCACCACCACTCCCCACCACACTTCCACTCACCACGTTCGCTGCCCCCACAATCTGCAGCAGATGCATCAACCTGCCCCCTGCTGCTGCTTTCTCAAGGTCTCTACTCAATACCTGGAGATTAACACCACTACTCACCATTCCTCACCACTCTTCACCACGTCTCACCACATTGGCCGCCCCCACAATCTGCTGCTGCCTCTGCCAGGTGGCTTTCAGTCTCTCAAAAACTGGAAATTTCCACCACTCCTCACCACCCCCTCACCACTCCCCACCACGGTCCACCCCTCACTCACCACATTAGCCGCCCCCACAATCTGCAGCAGATGCATCAACCTGCCGCCTGCTGCTGCCTCCCCATCGTCGTCGTTGTCCTGAATGACCTGCTGAGAAGGGTTAAGAAGGAGTAAGAGGGGGTAAGGGGAGGTAAAAAGGAGCACACAGGTTTTCCCCACACCACTGTCTGCCTGCCCCCTGCTGCTGCCTCCCCATTGTCGTCGTTGTCCTGAATGACCTGCTGAGAGGGGTCAGAGGGAGTAAGGAGGAGTACAAAGGATTAAGGAGTAAGAGGGAGTAAGAGGGAGTAAGAGGGAGTAAGAGGGAGTAAGAGGGAATAAGCAGCCCCATTCGCCCCACAAACTAGCAACCTGTCCCCTCCTGCTGCCACCCCATCATCGCCATTGTCCTGAATGACCTGCTGGGAGGGAGGCAAGAGGGAGGAGCAACAGGGAGTAAGGGGGGAGTAAGAGGGAGTACAAAGGAGTACGAGGGAGAAAGATCTTATATCGCCTCACCCAACATCAACCTGCCCCCTGCTGCTGCCTCCCCATCATCGCCATTGTCCCGAATGACCTGCTGGGAGGGGGAAAGGGTGAGCAAGAGGGGTACGAAGGAGTAAAGAGGAGTAAGCAGCCCCATACAGCCCACCCACTCTCTGCCTGCCCCATACTGCTGCCTCCCCATCGCCGTCGTTCTCCTGAACGACCTGCTGGGAGCAACAAGGAGACAAATTTTGAGACCTGCTGGTCTCAAAAATGACCTGCTGGGAGCAACAAGGAGGAACAAACAGAGTCAAGTCAAACAGAGGCCAGTAGTGACTCTCCTGCTAGATTTCCCCTTCGCCTCACTGAGTGAGGCTCACTCCCTATCACCCTGCTCCCTGCTGCTGCCTCCCCATCGTCGTCATTGCCCTGTGAATGACCTGCTGGGAGGGATACGAGGGAGTAAGAGGGAGTGAGAGGGAGTGAGAGGGAGTGAGAGGGAGTGAGAGGGAGTGAGAGGGCCATCACCTAAATGACCCGATAGGCTGCTGTGTCGGTGGCTCTTGAGAATCTCAAAATATCAACCTCCCCCTCCCCATCCCCCTCCCTCCCCCCAGCCCTCTCCTCCCAGAAGTAACACCCCCCTCCCCCTTCCCCCCCCCCCAGTTTTGATTGGCTTTAATTTTGCGCCTCACCCTCCCTCTCCCCCCCCCCCCCCCCCAACCCACTCCCCTTTTCCCCAATGTCCGGCACTCACAGTGCTGCCGCTTGCGCCAGCTGTCACAATCCGATAGGCCATGATGTTGTGCGTGGCGCCAGCTATCTTGCGATTGGCCAGAAGGACGTCCATCACCGCTGCCACGTCAGCAGGCGAGCCCACGGGTGCCAGGTGGGCCTGGAAAGTACCTGGAAGGTGCGGTCATGAGGAAAGGAGGGCATGTGACGCAGTGAACTGATGTCCCACACTCTCACTCACTCAATCACTCATACTCTCGCTCACTCATTCATTCACTCACACTCTCACTCACTCTCTCACTCACTCACTCACACATTCTCATTCACTCACTTCTTCTCTCAGCAAATGGAACCCATGCCCAATGCCCAGCGCCCTCTCTACATCCCCCTCTGAACGGAGGTGAGATGATGTCAACAGCGCTCCTCCATGCCCAATGCCCAGCGCCCTCCCTACATCCCGCCGCCTGTTGAGCTGAGGTGCTTCAAAAGACACTATGCATGCATGATACCCAGCACCCTCTACCAGATGACTTGTGAATCAACTCTGATGGTGCCACTCACTCACACTCACTCACTCACTCACTCCCTCACTCACTTCTCTTCTCAGTGAAAGGAACGCCATGCACAATGCCAAGAGCCCTCTCTATCTCCCCAGCCTCCTCCTCCCCACTCTCCCCCACCTTCCCCTCCTCCCCTCTTCTGCCTCCTCCTCTCCTTGCTGTTGCCTCTGCCGCCGCCGCTGCTTCCACTGCTGCACCTCTTTCTGTCTCCCCTGTTGCCTCCCCACCCTCCCTCCTGCTGTTCTCCTCACTCTCCGTCTCCTGCTGCACTGCCCACACAGGAGCGTGCTGCCACACCCACTGCTGCTCCTGCACACGTTGGGGGTTGGTTGGAGTGGTTGGGAGTGGTTCAGGGTGGTTGAGATGCTGCTCCCCTCTCTCTCCGTCTCCTGCTGCTCTGCCAGCACGGAGCGTGCTGCCACACCCACTGCTGCTCCTGCATGGCATGGGAGGCGAGCAGGAAGGTGGGGGAGGGTGGGGGGGGGGAGAGGGGGGGGTGGGAAAGGGTGGGGGAGGCATACGGAGGGATAGGGAGGCGTGGGGAGAGGCAGACAGCAGCAGGCAGGCAGGCAGGCAGGCGTGAGTGATGGCACAAACACATGGGGGCTGCGATGCATGGGATGGTGAGACGAGCTGTGACTGCTTTCGAGGCGCCTCAAAAGGGAACCGAGCTGTGACGGTCTACCTGTTGTGACTGTAATGCATCTTGGAGGGTGATCACGTAAACTACCCACCTTTATCCATTCCACCCATTGGAAAATCACCACCTCTCCACTGAGAGGTACTGTTGTCTCCTCCTCCCCTCTCCCCTCCCCTGCATGTGCTCCCTCCCCTTCCCCCCCTCCCCCTCCCCCTCCGCCTCCCCCTCCCCCTCCGCCTCCCCCTGCCGTTCTATCCAGCTGGCAGCACAACCTGCTCCTCTCTTCGTCCGGGAGCCAATCGTAGCGTGCCAGCTCAGCAACGGGGGCGGCGTGGGAGGGGTAGGCGGCGGGGAGGTGGACGAGGAGAGTGAGGGAGGGGGGCTGGTGGGTGTGACTGTCCAAGGATGTGACTGAATCGGGGTGTTGAACGGTTATCTGGTTGGGGGAGGAGAGGAGGGAGAGGGGATGGGGCGGGGGAGGGGGAGGGGGAGGGGAGGGGGAGGGGGAGGGGGAGGGGGAGGGGGAGGGGGAGGGGGAGGGGGAGGGGGAGGGGGAGGGGGAGGGGGAGGGGTGGGTGTGACTGTCTGTAGATGTGACTGAATAGGGGTATTGAATAGTTATCTGTTGGTAAAAGGGAAAACGAAGGAGGCCGGAGAGCAGGAGCATGAGGGAGTGAGTGGGAGTGGGGGAGGGGAGGGGGAGGGGTGGTGGTGGCGGTGGTGGTGGTGATTATGATGCAGGGTGTGACTATCCATATTTGTGACTGAATCGGAATCCCCGATAGAGCCTGACGGGAGGGCCAGGGACAAAGTGGGGAGGAGAAGGAGGGAAGGGGAGGGGCGGTGGCGGGTCGATCGCGCCAGATCCGTGCAAACATGGTCGTCGCGACGGCTCGTCGTGTCGTCCCTGGCCATATCCGCGCCACGGGGCTTGTGGAGACAGACAGCCGAGTGCCATCGACGCCGACTGGGCGAGCGGGTCGGCTCGGCTCGGTTCGGTTTGGTTCGGTTCGGCTCATCAAGCCAGCTCGGCTCGGCTCGGCTCAGTTCGGTTCGGTTCGGTTCGGTTCGGGTCGGCTCATCAAGCCGGCTCGGCTCGGCTCGGCTCGGCTCGGCTCAGTTCGGTTCGGCTCGGCATTGGGCTGAGCTGAAAGCGCTCGCGTGCCGAGCCGACGAGCCGAGCCGATTGGCTCGGCCACTTGCAATGCAGATGGCGAGGCTTGGAGACGTCTTAAACGGGGATGCTCGCGACGCGATCTGCTCACTCTGCAGCAGTGCTTGTCGCTCGAGTACGATATTCGTGACTTTCGCGACTTTCGCGACTGTCGCGGCTTTCGTGACTTCCGCGTCTGCTCACTCTGCAGCAGTGCTCGTCGCTCGAGTACGAGAAGCAATCTGAGCCGTAGATCGCCTCCAGCGCCTCCATCTCCTCCGCCTGCGCTTGCCGATTCGCCTCCTCGTCCGCCATGGCTTACGCCCCGTGATTTACGGCCCTTGACTACGACTGAGTCGCCCGTGAGTAAGGTCGTCTCAAACCTACTATGGCTAATCTGGTTACGGATAGGCGTGGATGAATTCACAGGTGAATGGGTGGTTCTGAGCAGCACCAACTAGGCGGTTCGAGAAAATGCTGCTTATAGCGCGTATCGAGATCGTCGCTTCCCTTTCACCTTGGGAAAATATGCCACAAGTAACCAACTTGGGACTCGATAACGTGAATATAAAAAAAAAAAACGCGTACGGTCACTGTATCGGGTTTTCTGACGGGTTTGGTAAGCGGGGTCACGGATTCAGTCACTAACAACAGGTAGAAAATCACGCGAATGGTCACACATGTAACTCCCGCCAAAAAAACTTGAAACTCAACAAAATTCCCGCTCGCGCCCAACCAATCTGCGGTTTGGGAATGGATCAACCCTAAACACCTGGCGAGTTACGTGTTTAGGGTTGATCATCCGAAAATGCATCCAGATTCTTTTTGGGTTTCATTTTGTTTTGGCGGGAGTTTCATCTGTGACCATTCGCGTTTTTTTTTACCAGCTGATTGTGACTGATTCCGTGAAACGCTTTATCAGTCGCGTGAAAACACCCTTTGCAGTGACCGTACCCTTTATTTTTTAACAAAAATGTGTTCGAGTCCCATGATGGTTACGAACGGCATATTTTCCCTTTCACCTTCTATAGTGATCCCCTGTTATCTGTGTGGGGGAAAGCATACGTGCTACACTACGTTCACCTTGTATCAACAAGTGTTCGCCTGCATAACTTCCTTTTTGTACCACAAAATAAAAAGGCGCATAACAGGCGAACCATAATATCTCAAGTCTACCGTAGATTAAATATTCGGTAGAGATATAATAGTCTGATTTAACCAATTGAGCAGGTTCTCCAACTAGCCATCCGATTATAGCCACACATTATATTACAGTTTCAAAATACTGGATTTGAATCACATTACACAAAATTGGAGATGCTGTAAACGAATTTAGTTCACTCACAATCACAGCCAAGCTGTCCCGCCAATTCCCGTCAGTCCACCCTCGCAAACCAACGCCCTCGCGCCGCATTCCCGCCGCCTGCGCCGCATTTACCCCCGACTCAGCGGGCTACGAAGGTTCAGGAACCAGGAGCATCCTGGGCTCCCAAACGGTGGCTCGTTCCAACTCTCTCGTGCTAGCCATCAGTTGTCCCCTTAGAGACTACGTTTCTACTTCTCCGAATGCCCCTCTTTGCCTCTCTCACTCCCCTGATCGCGAGGTTGACTATACTATAGAGTCTCTCGGCCCCGCCGCGTGCGAATTCCGTTAGAATCATCCGAATGCCACCCCTCGCCTCTCAATCCCGCCTGATCATTCGCCAGATCGTTTCCTTACGAAGCATTCTCGAAGCGCATCGAACATCCCTCACCTCTCATTCGCGCTCCAATTTAATCGCTCGCCAGACCATTTTCCCTCCTGTTACTCCTGTTACTCCTGTTACTCCTGTTACTCCTGTTGCTCCTAAAGCCATGCGTTTCCTGCTCGGAGCGCAGGTGCTACATCCTGATCAATGCTGCACCCGAGCAGCGCGTGTAGTGGTTAATCCCGTGAAGGATATTAAGTCTCACATAGGTCCTAGAGCCTTAGCCCCAACCTCTGTCTCGAATCGCGTCTTCCAAAGCAGCTGGGATAGGGGATACCAATTCAGACAGATTTCCTGTAAATCACGGAATGTTGTGCCACGTGGCACGGCTGCTAGTGAGATAACCCGAGCCGCTGCGAGATCCGCTATTCGTGAGGAGGCCACTGAGGCAGGCCCTGGAACGGTGACACGTCAGCCCAACTTCCTACAACCTTTGGACACGTGTCAGGCGGTGGTTGGAGAGGGAGATTCGTCCGGTGGCGGGAAGATCCGGAAGCGGCGTGTGGCGCTTTGGGTGGGATACGTTGGGACGGAGTTCAAAGGTAAGGCTGGGGTTTCGGGTCTAAGAGGAAGGATCCAGAGGAAGAGTTTAGGCTTACGAGAGGGTGACACCAAGTAATTCAGGAGTGGCGAAAGCGCGGGGTGGCTCTCTGGGTGGGATATGTTGGGAGGATCAGGGTTTAAGAGGGGGTTAAAGGATTGTGAAGAGGCTGTGAGGCTTAAGAGAGATTCTTGCTTTTTGGAGGTGGTTCAGGAGCTTCGATATTATAGATGGTGGCTTTGTGGTTAGGATATGTTGGGACGGAGTTCAAAGGCAGGGGTGGGGTTTCGGGTTTAAGAGGGGGAGGTTTATTAAGTATCTACTTGAATCTGGCATGATTTTCACCATTACATTATACCCGTGTGGTGTGAAGCAGAACTGCTTGCTGAGGTGAATTTATGGCAGATTCACACCGTCCTACCTAGTACCTACATATGAAATGACCTCCGTCCCAATGTATCCCACCCACATTTTTCTCTCAGGGCGAGCGGCACAGGAGTAGGGAGGTTCAGAGGGGTTTGGCTGGGTCTGAGAGACACCCGTCCGTCCCTCTTCCTTTATTCATTCCCGTCCGACCATCTTCATCCCACACGCTTATCCGATCCCCTCTGCTCCTCTCCTCTCACTCCCCTCCCGCAGCGCGGCAGATTCAGCGAGCAAGCCCGGTGCCGCTCCCTTGAGACGCCTCTGACAGTGAGAGTGACAGTGATGAATGTGACAGTGACAGTAACGGCAACACTGCTTCTCTCCTATCCCAACCCCTGCTCCTCAATCCACCCACCTGTCTCTCCACCCACAGGGTTGCAGATTCAGCGATCAACCCGGGTGCCGCTCCCTTCAGACGTCTCTGGTAGTCACAGTGATGACTGTGACTGTAACACTTCTTCTAACCCCTGCTCCTCACTTTCTTATCATACGTCTCTCTCTCCCCTCGTTTCCTCCCCACAGGGTTGCAGATTCAGCGAGCAAGCCCGGTGCCACTCCCTTCAGACGCCTCTGATGAGAGTGATTATGAGGACTGTTACAGTAACGGCAACACTGAATCTCGCTTATCATAATTTCCTAACCTCCATTGCTCTCTCCCCCCTCCTCTCCCTCCACAGGCCTGCAGATTCAGAGAGCAATCCCGGTGCCTCTTCCTTCAGACGCCTCTGATGACAGTGATGAGTGTGATCCGCGTGTGATGTGTCGGTTTCTTAGTCGACTCAAAAACAGACGCCTCTGATGAGAGTGATGAGTGTGATAGTAATGGACGGCAACACTGCTCCTCTCTTATCCCAACCCTGTTGACTTTTGAGTCGACTCAAAATGACTTTTGAGTCGACTCAAAGGTTTCTTAGTCGACTCAAAAACAGACGCCTCTGATGAGAGTGGTGAGTGTGGTGTGGTAGTAATGGACGGCAACACTGCTCCTCTCTTATCCCAACCCTGCTCTTCTCTCTCCCCTCGTCTCTCCACCCACGGGCCTGCAGATTCAGAGAGCAAGCCCGGTGCCACTCCCTTCAGACGCCTCTGATATTGAGAGTGACTATGAGGACTGTGACAGTAGCGAAGGGGACCCAAGCAGCAGCAGCAGCGGCAGCAGCAGCAGTGGCGGTAGCAGCGACCCTTCCAGCATCCCTTCAACTGAATCCGTGCCCAGTGAGCGCTCCCCTCCTTCAGATTGCATGCCTCTGATGATAGATTTGAAGGCTGTGACAGTAATGAAGTGAATACAGGCAGGCAGGCAGCAGCAGCAGCAGCAGTGGTGGTTGCAGCGGCCCTTCCAGCACCTCGTCAACTGAATCCGTCCCAAGTGAGCGCTCCCTTCCTTCAGATTGCATGCCAACTGAAGTGTTGAGAGTGACTATGAAATGAGGACACACCCCGCGAGTAAGGGTTTTTGCTAAGCGTTTTCTCAGAAGTTTGCTGCTACTCCCAACATGAACCTTGATCCCTTCAGATTGCATGCCAACTGAAGTGATGATGAGTGACTATGAAATGAGGACTCAAAGGGGAGGGGAGTATGATGCGTCTCATGATGGCCACTTCACGTGCCTGTGCTTCACTGTGCAGCATTTAAAGTGGACTGTGTCAGTAGCACGAGAGTGTCAGTAGCACGAGAGTGTCAGTAGCAAAGAGGACTCAAGATTTGACTTTTGAGTCGACTCAAAAGTCAACCTATGCTTCACTGTGCAGCACTTAAAGAGGACGACGATAGTTTCAGTAGCGAAGAGGACTCAAGAAGCGATGCTTCCGGCTTTGATCGGCTTTCCAGCACTTCAAACCCAACACTGCTTAATGATATTTTTTAGGTGTAGTCGTAAAAGAGATACAGCTATGTTGGTTTGACTTTTAAGAATTCTCAACTACAAACCCAACATTGCTATCTTATCGGCAAAACTATATTTTTTAGCTGAAGTCGTAAATGAGATACAGGCATACTCTCCCTTCCCATCCGACCACCCAGTGCAATATTGGAGTCACCTTTGTGAATATCTGAAAAGTATAATGTCTCAAAAACGCATGCTCAAGTGAAGCTTCCCCATCCCCCACCACCCATCACCACCCATTTTCTGCCACCTTTCGCTGCTGCTCCTTTTCCCCTTGCGCCACTGCTTCACTCCCCCCTTCCAGCGGTGGAGGGTTATCTGGAGCAGGCTCTACTGGCGGCGGGCATGATGCTTCCCCATTCCCCCACCCGCCCATCCTCTACCATCCCTTCCAAATTGCATTCCATCAGTCAGCGCACCCCGTTTTCCCCACTTTCCCCACCCCACTTCCTCCCTTTACCCCCTTCAGCGGTGGAGGGTTATCTGGAGCAGGCTTTACTGGCGGCGGGCATGATGCTTCCTAGCAACTTCGGGGATCTGTTCAAGATTGGGTGGAGCCGTAGCAGCAGGACGGACAAAGGGGTGAGTGGAGTTTGGTGCGGTGCAGTGCGGTGCAGTAGGTAGTGTAACAGGAAAACCTAGCATTCTGGCCAAGGTTGGGTGGAGCAGGAGTAGCAGGACGGACAAAGGGGCGAGTGCGGTGCAGCGAGACGAGATGCGGTGAAGTGTGGTGCGGTGCGTTGCAGCTGGTAGTGTGCTGCAGTACAGTAGGTAGTGTAATAGGCACACTCTGGCCAAGAATGGAAGGAGCAGGAACAGCAGGACGGATAAGGGGTCGAGTGCGGTGCAGTGCGGTGCAGTAGGTAGTGTAATAGGTACGCTAAGCATTCTGGGCAAGATTGGGAGGAGCAGGCACAGGAGCGCCTAAAACATCGAGTCAACCACTCCGTCACTCCTCCCCTCCTCCTCCTCCTCCGCTCCCTACCTCTCCCTACTCCTCTCCTCTCCCAGGTGCATTCAGTGGCAACGGTGGTGTCAGTGAAGCTCGAGCTGCCAGAGAGTCTCTTTCAGAAGGAGCAAGGGCAGCAGGAGGAGGAGGGGGCTGGCT